CATGTGTGCCTGTTCGCATGCAGTTTGAACAAATGAATTCAACAAAAAACTGTCATGAATTAGGCATATAAGTGCGCTGAATGATTGCTACTGCATATCTTCAGTTTCACATCAGAACACCATCAATGAAATCATTCCATGAGATCAAGTGAACATAACGCGTTTTCAAACAAGTGTGGAAAGACTTTCTGGTGACGAAAGTTTTTCGAGTAGTTGATAGGCGAAATACGATTCTGATGATGTGGATAGTTCTGCGGAGGCATCTATCGATATGACCTCTGAACGATTCGAAGAAAACGGTATCAAACGAAATTCAAACGCATCAGAATAATCAGCCACACGACTCGAACTACTCGTTGCTGCATCCGAACTTGCCGACGAAATACGCTCAACATCCTAGAATTTGAATGATTCAAAAGCATTCAAATATGTTGCGTTTCAATGAACCTATAATGAAGAAGCAGCACAATCAGAATTTTTCAACAGATATCAGCAACATAAAACGTATAACATTTCATAGATAACAAATTTCCTTGTCGGAATGACTGTATAAAAAGCAAAGACATCGTGATACCTTAACCAGAATTGTTCCTATTTAAGAGAAATCTACTAGTTTTGGAATTTCGTATCGATGGAAAGAAATTCTTTTAGTACAAAAGTGATTTATGATATGCCCTTATGAAGTTCTATTGCATTTATCAGTTAATTTAAACAGCGTACTTAAATGGATATGACGCGAACTTGCGTGCATACATAAGCATTCATGAATATTTGTACTGAGTAAAAAAAAGTAATCATCAGTTTGATAATATTTCACCAGCTACAGCGTGATTCTTTTAAGATTCCGATCAATATTCTCATTTTGCTGGAAATTTTTTTNTTTTTTTGTTTCATTTTCTTTTCATTGCTGATTCACGCAAAGAATCACTATATTGTATGATCATGAAACCCGTCACGCACGAACCACACGAATCCCTTGATGGAATTTTCGTAATTCACGCATCACACTTACTTTGGCCTTGCTTGAATGATTTTGCTCTCAAAAGCGTACATAGGTGAATGAACTAACGTTTCTAAATTTATATTCGAAAGAAATAATTCGCAAACATAACTTGGAGGAGGTAATTCAAGAAATTTTCTCAAATTTGAGCTTTATAAAAAACGTAGAATCGATAACGCAGTTTCAATAGAACAGATAGCACATGCTTTGCCACCAACCGTTTGATTGCTAGTCGAATGAGATTTAATACGAAGAAAGTTGCATGAACGTGATTGTTTGATACTAGGATAGACTGAACAATCGGATCTTGATACGACGATGGTTTGGGACTGAATATCGGGTGATGAGAATGTTTGTACAAGTGTTATTGGAGGTGCAAGCAAATTGATATCGGATGCTTGTGAGATGCGTTCGAGCATGGGTGAATGAGATGTCTTGGAGGATTTTCTTGACGAATCAGTCATGTCGTCTCTTAATCGCTGAATATTCTCAGCAGTCGAATGGTCATCCATCCACGTTAATTTCTTGCTACGGCCGATCAACTGAAGTCTTGACGAATCCTAAAAAGTCAGGCAAAAACTCTGCGGCGCTCATCAGCAGTAGGAAATGAATGGTTCGGTGAATGAGCGAAGATCATTCAGTTCTGTTGAAAAACGTCCATATTTGACGGATGTCTAAACAGCAGTCAATTAAGTATATGGCATGCGGAATAATCTTTTACTACGATTTGAAATTTCACTGATTTCTCTGATGGCCGAAACTCTCGGAGAATCTTTCAACTTTGAAAGATCTTGATTTNTTGATCATTATTTGGATGTCACCGTTTTTAAGAAAATTTCGCTGCCGATCACATGCATATATCATTGAGGCACCGATTAAAGACTGAACTTTGTTGGGCAGAAATTGGTTGCGTGTATAGATAATGAAGTTTAGAAAATCATTAATCATTAATCGAGTATCAACATGCTGGCTGATTTGTTCAAGGAGAAAACTTTCAACACGCGCTAACAATTTTCTGCTTTAAGTTTGTTTAATTTTACCCTCTTTAAGGTTTAAGTTTAAGATGAGGTTGTTTACCGCTTCGTCGAGATTCGACCATGTGCTACTCCTCCGCAAACGGCGTTTTTGTATGTAACTGTTTCGATTAATATTATAGACTGATTGAGCAATCCTGACATTAGTTCCACTTGGTTGCTGTTTGGAGGCATCATCACCATTCTGCTTCGAAATAATCGACTTAGACAACGATGTTCGGTCAAATGGACGTGTAACTGCATCAAAAAATATTCATTGATTACTATTGCTTAACAGTTATACTTACTGCACCATTGTGTAACTTCGATCACAACCCAGTGCAAGTCTTTCTTGTCATGCCAGTGCCCGAAAGAATGAGTATGGATGAGCATTGCCAAAACAAATTCTCAGAATTAAAGATGACTTTATTCGTCAGTGGTGACATTGTCTTAATAGAGAAAGCCGCAGGGAAAAGAAGGATAAGATCATTTTGTCATTTCGTTTTCAGTTCTTTAATTATGATCGCAATAACCATTCACTGAAAGCGCTGAAAGTTGATTAGTTTAAGCACTGAAAAGATATTCTTCCATTTCGAAAGGCGATTAATATTCAGAAAATGTCACTGAACTATGATTATAATTCAGCATTTACTATTCACGATCAATCTTAAAACTGATCAGCCAGCTCAAACTATGAATACCTTCACCCCTGAACTAGTTTCCAGTCAAAATATTGTTAAGAAAGCCACTTGATAAATCGGAATTCCTGAGGTGAACCGAACAGGTCTCAATTGAGTGCTGAGGGCGTCAGAAAGCAACTTGGCGAATAAAATCCTTGGAAATGCACACTTCATTCAGTATAACCTTCCGAGGATTTCTACAATTTGCAGACAATCAGCAAAGAAAATGAAGAGTGACTCAATTTTTGAAACTCAATTTGTAAACGATCAAACCAAAACGATGCGTTGCACCAAAAAAATTCGAAAATCTCATTACGTTCGCATCTCAACCATTTTAACTAGCAATGCATCCAGCATATAACTTTGCTTCCTTTTCTCAGAAAACTTCTGAAACATCAAAGACTAACTACCCAAGCTCGATATGGAATGTTTACTGGAATCTTCATGATCGATCAATTGTTTGGCTTTTATGATTGAAAAACATGCTTTGCGAGCATTTCCAACCATATGGTCTCGACTGGAATAGACAACTGCTGGCTTGCGCAGTGATTTTCTGCGTAACCCAAAATGAAGGAAAACATCCTGTCCTACTGAACTGTGGAACATAAAAATGTTTTTAGAAACTGGCAAATCATTTGTTTGAAATAAACACGAGTGATAATTTCCACCGAAAATGACGCAGCTGCACAAATGCCTCTGATAGAATAAGAACACAAATTAAAGTTCTTCACTTCGTTACATTTTAAACTTGAAGAATGACATGCAGCAGGAGCAAAAATAGAAACGCTCCAATAAGAAATACACACTGGGCTGGTTGCAAAGCACTCGGTCACTCAGTATTATTACGTCAAAATCGAACGTAAACAAACGGCTTTCCCAGCTAACAGCCTTCTTGTTAAATCAAAAAAAATGTTTCATCGTGAAACACCGTGTGAGAAAATGATGATAACTCACTGAATGTTGTTGAGTGACCTTTTGGTATAAAACTGGTAACAGTCGAAAGTGAGTGTTGAATGCGATTAGCGAAATGAGCCACAAATTTTGGACTTTCACATGAACCGGGACTGATGATGCAGAATGCTATTGAGATGGTACTTCCAACAACAGATAGAAGTGCCAAATACAGGCCGAAATTGAAACGGTCTATGTCGATACATGCCAAAATGATACCACCAATACCAGTGGAAACACATAAAACTGTCGATAAGCAGGCCAGAAACGTCATAAAATCCCCTTTATTCTTCTCAAACAACCATCAGGTGATGGATGTATCACTAGGTATCTTTAATAAAATTAACGTTACATTATCGATGGACGATAATAATGAATATTTTTGAAATCGTTTCGCTTCAGAATTCAGCAGTTGCACAGTGAGAAATTGGACAATTCAACACTGAGAAATTAGACCTTCACACATCAATTCATCAATCGCATTGCAAAGAGTCTAGAAGATATGGGTGATAATAGTAACAATAAAGATAATATCAATATAATAGTAAAAATAGTAACATCAGTCGTAATAAAAATCTTTATTCAACAAAGGTTTAATGCTGGAACATTAACATGCCGAGAAACTAAAGTAAAATAAAACTGAATATAAACACAAAGCAATCACGCAATTAAAAAGAGATGCATATGAAATGATGCTGAGAATCTATTAAAAAATCAGTTTTCAAGCCTAATAACGAATTTCAAAAGAAAAAAAATGTTTCGAAAATTTTTTAAATCAAAGCATAAAATGTTCTAAATTTATTCACACACCATTGCGATTATTGACAAAAGTAAAATAAAAAAAAAAGCTCGTAGCTTTCTAATCGCAGAAAGCTTTCTCCTAGAAAATTCCATGCCGATGCGAACGTAATGAAAAATGGCAAAAGAATACTGATAGAACTTAGTGAAATTATTGCTAAATCAATTGATGCGTGAATAATTCACGTTAACATTCTTCGAAATCGTTCAAGCGCGATTATAATTAACGGAGTGATCGATTTGCACCCAATCACAGTCGAACTGCTCTCTCAGATGGTATCAGCCGGCAAGCTGCTATTACGAAAAAATCGCAATGCTCTCAATGAAGCTCAGAAATGATTAGCAACTGAAGAATAGCAAATCTGCTTTCTGTTAAAGCCATTAGAATGGCAGACGCAAATGCCTCATCTAATTTGTCATCTCTTAGCTGAAAAGCTTTCATTTGGATACTGCACTCTTCCAGCTCTTTGAAAGTCCTTCCAGGTGATTCTAACTGTTGATCCGATTTGTTGCAAAAAATTCATCTAAGTTCAGCCGACATCGATTCATTATTTCCTCAGACAAGGAAAGCATTCTTGGATGAATCAGTTCTTCGTTACTGTTGCTGCCAGTTGCTTTGGTAAAATAGAGAAAGTAGATAGATTGCAGTTCTACTAAATGAATGGTTATTGCGATCATAATTAAAGAACTGAAAACGAAATNACAAAATGATCTTATCCTTCTTTTCCCTGCGGCTTTCTCTATTAAGACAATGTCACCACTGACGAATAAAGTCATCTTTAATTCTGAGAATTTGTTTTGGCAATGCTCATTCTTTCAGTGATACGAAGAACAACTCATTCGTTCGGTTCTGAATACTATTGCGGGAAATAAGCATGAACACAGCAAGAACAAGAACTGCAATCTATCTATTTCGTGAGAGAATGTTGATCTGATAGTATTCTACTTGATTTTGATTATGCACGCATAACATAAGTAGGCATTGACTTACTAGACTTATTAGACTGAAATTTTTTAATGGAACAAGGACACTATAAAAGCAAAGGAACGACGGCATTAAAGGCATAATACAAACACATAATATGTTTTTGAGCATCAAATCCACGCAATAAAGTACACGGTCATCATTAAATGATGAACGGCAATCATTAAAATGTCAGCAAAACATCTGTGTCTCCAGTATATTCCATTCACACTTTTAAAGTTGATTTTCAATCAGATTTATTTTGGGAGCATTACAAATAATTTGGACTGGAACTGTTTTAGAACCGATAGTAGAACGACTTGATCTTCTTTTGAAAGAATGCTCCTTTCGAGGTTTCAAGATAATTATACATTCCTGTAGATCAACCTCCTAAATGATCAGAAGTCTCAATCTCATTTATCGCATCACATATTTCGGCAGAAAANAAAAGGGAAATATCAGGGTGGCTGAGATTTACAAATCTGATTTAGGTGAAGCATGGGACTATCGCGAGTCAGAGAATCCAGATAAGACAATTCCAGGATAACAATGAACAAATGAAACAAATTGAAACCAATTGTGTGAATCATAAAAACAGATTATAGTTGGAATGATTTAGTCAGTGATGAGCTTGAACGAATATTATCAGATAAAAATTTATTTGAATTTGCGGATATTTCAATAATCATACAATTGATACAACACGGTCAATAAACGACCGATTCGAGACTGGGCTGTGCCATAAGAAACAACTTTTGTTCTCAACAACAATAACGAAACTTCACCATTTGCCAAGTTCCTTTTGATAAGGAATTCACGATCCATCCACTATCATAATTTTTGGAATCATAGCAATAGATCAAAAGCCAATAATCCCACTTCAAATTTGGTAAAGTTGTCACAACCTCAACCTTGGGTAATCAACCGTCTAGTGTAACTACTCCTAGCCAAGAGTGGAAATTGGTCTGGGAGCAATTTTACTGAATCACTAAAGGTTATCGATCCTGTCAAAACAAAGCTAGGACAAAGATATAATGATGATGTGAAAGCAAAACCAGAACAATAATTTTCTATCAATTCCCTTTCAATCGCAGCTGATGTCGACGTTGTTCTGGTTAAAGAATGAATCCTCAATGCAAATCTTTTTCCTTCTTCAACCACTCCAACCAATATCGATCTTCGTATAATGACGATTATCTCTGTTCACTGGCTGAACCATTCCAAGAACAGAAATATTGCACTTTGAGTCACTCGAACATAGCTCCGATCACTAATTCCACAACACAATAATAATTTCAACTCTAATTCCAACTAATTCAGTACAACCACAATTCCACCACTCCAATCTCAATACACTTCCAACACCTCCCAATTCAATTCAAACTCTTTTAACCGACCCGATCCAACACTTCGGTTATCAGAATTGACACAATAACAACAGATCATGATTATCCACAAACACTTCCCAAACGATCTCGATGAACAATTCAAGGATCAACAATTCAATCCAAGAGTCAACCCAGGAATCCCCAAAGAATACAATCATCGGTCTTATACAGACAGTTCATAAACAAATTCCTCATACATTATGCAAAATTAGATATTCACATAAGTCATGCAATTACATTATGTGAAATAGATATTAATACAATTAAAAATAGATACAATACAGTTCATACAATTACATTCATTTAAATCACTTCCTGCATCATTTTACACACTACAACCACAATACAGTAATATTTTACAAGATACAAACGAACAGTTTCGAACAATCTTAACAATCAACCCTCTCGCGATGTCAGTCCAGACAAATGCCTACCATGGCCTTCATATATATTTGACTTGAAAGCTCTTTATCATCATCTTTCTCCGAAACCATTCCTTCATCGACCATATAGTTACGATCGATAAAATCGGATTTGCATCCTTCATCAATCCTGATAAGCGTTGAACCCAAACAATTTGAGAAATGTTTACCTATCGTTATATTCCTGCACACACGACCAGAATTCCACAGAACCATTTATTTCACTCAATAAACATACACAAAGAATGTCCTAAAAGTGCGAATATTTATAGAGTTATTTTATACGAATTCTAACTTAATTTATTCAAAATTCTTTATTCAAATTCACTTATGCAATATCACAGCCTCCCGCGGTGACATTATGTCATCGGATTGGCTCTACATCTCATTCTCAACTAAACCTCTGAGTCAGGAAAAAAGTGACTTCCTGGGAAGGAGACCCAAAAAAATCCTGCCCATTGGCAGATTAAAGGCAAAATTCTTATAATCATTTGACGTTCCATGTGCTTCCCGGTTCCTGAAAAGATATCAATATACTTATCAATATATTTTATTTTTATTCGAACAACATTATTATTATCAATCGGTGTTATCTTTGGTCTTTGCTTCCCAATTTCGATTCTCCTTGCATCGATCCATATGGGGTCAAACTCATCTTCATACCTCAACGAAGGATGGGATATCCTTGACGATCGCCATAGTGATTCTTCTAAAATTATCAAAGGTACCTGAAATTTTAAAATGCCAGTATCTTCATCTTCACTTCCCTGCCTATACCGGGGCTTAATTTGATCTATATCTATTTTACTGAAATCTATTTTACGACCTCTAGTCTTAGCCTTACTATATTCAACGCTTTAGCATGAAGAAATTTCACATCTCAACGATATTGTCCACACAGACCTTCCACATTTCTCAAGCTTCCATCAAATTTTCCAATTTGCTGTACCTCAAGCCAATAACATTCACATGACCATACTTAACCATATTATCTTATACAAAAACAGCAAGTCTGCTTCTAACGTCTTACTCAAGTCTTACCCAAGTCAATTTTTGCTTGATCAATTGCTAGCAATAGGATATCTTGGAGGGTTATCAACAGGATATCATCATCATTGTAGTTTTGGAAAGGTCTGTTTTCAGAAGGAAAGTAGTGATCATACCATTCATGCCACTGTTTTTCCAACGCTCCTCTAACAAGAGCATTTCTAAAATGAGGTCCTGTTGGATGAAGAACAACATCATCAGCTTTCATTGACGGGAGTGAGTCCCAATTGTATTGTTCTATTTTCCCATAGTCATCAACAGTCCAACAGGTCGAGGAATTGTAGATAATTCTTGTGCAACATGTTGTATATTGATTGAAATCCAAATTAAAAAATTGCCATATAAATATTTCTTGATTGTTCAATATGACCCTGCGGAAGAAACCAAGGTTGCACAATACTTTCATTTTATCTTCATTCTTCATGAGTGGATAAGTCTTAATTAACTGGTGAAAATTCCACTGCGTTTGAGGAGAAGGAGATTTGCCTGGATTTCTTAATTTGTAGTATTGAAACTTAAAGCCAAAATTGACTGCAGACAGTGCCTTGAGATCTTCAGGACGGGATTCGAGGCATGAAGAACATGAAGAAACAAGCTGATGATATTGCCCTTGGAAGTTTAAAGTAAACCAGAGGAACAGCAGAAGCAGCGGGAAATAGAGTTCTTGCAGTAGGAATCATTTCAATCATTAGCATGATGTGAGATGTTAACATTGCATAACGAGGACCATTAACTGTATTTGGAACGAGCCTTGCAGATTCCTGAACACCCAATTCACTTAAAACTCTTGTTAATTCTGATACTATCGCAGGATTATTGTTTTTACCAAAGCCACTCTGATGAAAGAAGACACACACTTTTGAGATGTATGAGGCAAGGGTCTCTGGTTTTATATGTCCATCCTTCTTTGGCATAACCTTGCACAGGTTATCGAAATCGAAACTCACTCTTGTATATTCATCTATCTTTGTTTGATCAATTGCTCGCAACAGGATATCTTGGAGGGTTAGAGTCATCATCATTGTAGTTTTGGAAAGGTTTCATAATAGAGGACATTTATTAAAAAAATTTACATCAAGGTCTGCAGCAGACACTCTGCGAATTATGTAACAAGAAACCACCGGTCCAGCGCACAAATCAAGAGCATTCTTAAAACCATCAAATCTGTAAACATACAATATTTCCCTCAGCTTATACCCCNTAATCCATACGAGTTTTTGGTCTAACGTGAGCGTTATAAACCTCATTCGACACTTCAGTACAAACTTCCTCCGAAAATTCTTTCAGTCATCTGTTTATCTCATTAGAATCAGACAATTCGATGAAATTCTTGCTAATAACAGACTGTCTTGACAAATCTGAAATGTCAGTAGCAGTATCACTGATCTCGTTATTAGGGACGCGTTCACGAATAATATGACGACTATTGAAAGAAATTTTTGAAAAAAATTTGTTGATATAATAACAAGGAGGTATTTTATCAACAATTACTTTATGTAAACTAGGAACCATTTTATCATCTTGAGGTCTCAAAACCACGTCAACATCAAAATTATCACGTAATATCTCCCTCGTCAAATGCATAGGATCAATCACAAGGTCAGGGACTATTGGAGCAAAACATTTAACAGGCTCTATAGACAACCGATTGAAAACAGCAGTTTTTCTGATCCATTCCATACATTATCGATAGCATCAACAGCTCTAGAATACACACGTTCAACAACATACTCCTTGAAGTTCGCTTTACCCTCAAGAATATGAGTGCAATCTTCGATAAACTTATAACCGTCCATAGGAGATTTCGAAGAATTAAAAGCAATAGTATAAAAAGGTGCCATAAAGCTGTTAGCAAAACAAAGTGATGCGGAAGCCTTAAAGGCAGACGTGAGATTTTTCGAAGACGAGAAGAATCTATTAATGACACCTTTACCGAGTAGTTCCCTATCATATTTGACGCAGTCAAGAACAAAACTTAACATTTGACCAGAGTCGTACTTCAATCGATACATGTATACGTAAGCCGCAAGAGTTAAATGATATTTCTCTTCAAAAGTCAAAGAAGGCGTTCTCGACACAATATCCTCTTCAAAAAATACCTTTTGAGAATACGCTTGTATAAAAGAAAACAGTTCACTAGGTGTCTTCTTGAATACTGTACGGAAAGAGTTGTTATCTATTATTTTAAACCAGCTGAAGCTGAATGTGCTCTCGCTATAGAAAAACTTCGTTTCTTGCCTAATTGTCGCAAATTAAGTTTAATTGATGTCGCGGATACGGATCTTACCTGCGACAAAGCTAAATCTACCTTAGAGAATCTAAAGCTACCCTAGAAAATTTTCTCCCAACATTCGAAGCTTGAAATAAGTCATCTGGTTTTGGTAATGGATACTGATTTACATCTACATACGGATTAACAGTAACCTTAAAATCACCACAAATGCGTACCTTTTGGGAGCTACGTTATTACTCCTACCTCAGAGTGGGAGGGAGCAATCNCGTCGATTGCACCAAAAGCGGCAGAATCACAGTCAACCAAATAAACAAAGAACACTTTTGGATCCTTCCACAGTTACTCCAAACGCAATTTCTCCACTCCAACCAATAACTCTAACCAATAACTTTAACCAATAACTTCTCCACTTCAACAAATAACTTCAGAATAACCTCGACTCCATTCGATACACTCAATCCAATAATCCGACCAATTATCTTTAACCACCTCCTGTTCGAGAACAACCGTTTTCTCGCTTACTGTAATTTCTATCTTATGCGGCGGCTCAACTTCCACCCTCTTGACCGAATATACGGGTGCCTCATCTATCTCAACCTCACTTACATCAGGTATTATTTCCTCATCGTCTTTCACAATATGCTCATTCACTACATTTTTACTTCTCTTATCTGGTGTTTCCCAACTACACACTTGCGCTGGATGCCCTTTCCGATGACATTTCTTACCCCTCCTTAATCCAACACTCAAATTGCTTATGTCTGACCTTTCCACAAACAAAGCACTTGCCCTGCCTTAGCTCAACCCTTCCTTGGTCTCTTACTCCCGACCTCTCGTCAAACTTACTGAACACTCTACCCCTCTTCTCAGTTCTAAATCTGCTTGCAAATCTCTTATCTCCTTCCCTTCTACTCCGTTGCTTCTCCCTCTGGCTTTCTCAAACCACCACCTCCCCAGATTGACGAATGAAGTAGCCCATTTTTTCAAAAATATTTTACATCTGACCAGTAGGAGTGCTAAATCGATACAGTGGACATCCCATCTCGAACCTCGAATATTCCTTTGAAACACAAATTTGAACATTCTCGCTATGACTGTATCTTGAATGTATTACCGTATTGCTGCATCACTCGTTTGCTTGTTCAGCTTACGCAAGATTCCCAATATGAGTGGGTATTGTTACAATAATAAATGATCTTTTAGTTATTTAACTGCCATTGAATACTGATTGTTATGCAGGCGTGATATCCATAATTAACACTTGCTGATGAATTACACTGAAGTGTTTCAAAACAGAATTAGAGAAAGCAATATGAGGTGAAATTAAACGATTACAATTCGACAGCATATGACAAATGACATTAAAAATCATTATTTTAGATTACAGCACCGAATTAATTACATCATAAAATGCATTGAAATCGTGCACAAGAATCAATAAAGTTAAGTAACAATTTTTTAAAATTTTTGGTTTTATTTTTTTTATTTAATTTTTTCTTTTTTTTGATTTTTAGCTTTTTAATTTTTTCAATTTTTAATTTTTTCTTTTTTAATTTTTTTCATTTTTCAGTTTTGCTACTTTTTCATTCAGTTTTTAGTTTTCATTTTGAACATCTGTTTCAGTTTATTCACTTATTACGTTCCTTCCAAGATCCTGTGGCGTTTGATTGGTACGACGTAGGTTGAAGTAATTCACTGGTAGCAAGTTGATACTGTAGACTGACACTCTCCGAATATGGCTGATCTTCTAGGGATAAAGAGTTTCTCTTCCATACGGTTATCATTTTTGCATTGATTGGGGCAACTGGAGTATAGGGAAATCCATGTATATGATGACATCAAATCTGGTATTATCCTCCACAATACAGGAACATGTGCAGTATGCAGAAATTGTCAAACGCAGGTATATTTGTCTGAGTGATCCCGAAACCCAGCCATCATAATCCAATGGTTCCTGAACCCAGGTGGTTATTCAACTACTGCATTAGATTCGCGTTATTACAACGAAAATTGTAGCAGTTTCGTCACCATCAATTTCTCGTTTGAGTTGGAGGGAAAACTCCAAATGTAATCTTCAAACGAGTATTCCTAAGACAAGCCATAACAACTTTCCAGCTCTTGTGTAGTGCTGGTTTATTGCCCAATGAGATCTCTTCTTTAAGCGATGGAAATGACGAAAAATAAACTCAGCGGTATTTGTTGAGGCCTCATTCTTCCAACATTTGCATAACTCGATGGACTCGGGAATGAGGGAGATGAGACTTCGTCGTTAGGAACCAGTTGACAAAAGGATGTTTATGGAGGGGGATGGATAGTATCAGCATGATGAAATCATCGTCAGCTGTATTTTCGCGTTGTCGAATTGCCCAATTTTGCACAAATAGAGACATGCAAGGGTCCACTGTTAAAGTATGATCATACTAATATTGTAGATACACAAAGCATTTGTTGCAACATATGATAGATATATTGACAACAATAGTTATGACATAAGGTTGATACAAAATGAATGCCGCTTTTCAACATCTCTCATGCCTCCAAAATACTATATAGCATGATCGATTAAAATTTAAATTACTTTGGAATCAATTTGAGAACATCCGAATAATAAAATAAATGACACTCTTGCTTTAGCATCAACCTAATACAAATAATTCATTTCATGATAATCAATTTAGTAATTCATGACGAAAAACAACAAGATGGTCGAAGCAATTGAGAATGATATCGTGATAATGTTTCTGTGATGATAAGATCATTCGTAATTATTGAGTTATGAGAACGGTATTTACTGTACTCGTGAGAATGATTATATTCAGATCACGATATCACAGCAATATTGTCAACAAAAAAAACGTAAAAATGAAAATTGCAATTAATAATTTCATCAAAACAAAATAGTCTTGCAATTCGTTCAGAATGTTGATACAATCTAATAAAGTCAAGCCAAAAGAGTGTGAAAATGATTTACAGAATAGCTTGATAATGGAATAAGAGAACTGTTAATTACAATGTATCCAATGGCAGTCGACTATTCTCATTGAAAATAGCTGTTTACGAAACGAGCCAATCAGAGCTCGTCTCTTCTCTTTCAATTTCGTTCTAAATCTAAAGTCTCCCAATCTTCCGTTCTCTTAAGGAAATCTGCACCGTTTCGTATCAGTCACTCTTGATATCGTTCATACTGTGGTCGTGCTTAGTATCCTATAACAATCATCTCTCCATTATTCTATGCTACTCTATGATGAGTATTAGTTTTTGAATACCCGTGTACGATAATACACTCAAGCAATACAAGGCGTTCAATAGGACATTCGTATAGGATCACTTCAAATAATTTTGTGTTTCATTGGTACCTATGATTTCCTTCCTCGTTCATAACATCCATTCAAACTCATTAAGCGAATGATAGACCCTAAACTCTACTCCTGAATATCACCCCTATGAACAGGTAAATGATTTTTTGAGAACGAGAATTGAGGAAAGCATCCCAAGCGGATCGAACCGTGAAGCTATGAATCTTAATATCTCTCGATTTGTATTGGGATCACTTAATTTGCGGAGCTCAAAACTTATTTGATCTTCTTTGACTAGCCAGCAGATACGTAAAACTTTTTTGGTTTGCATTGTTTTGTCACAATCAATTGCTGGGACTGCATCATAAAACTTTTCACTGTTGCAAGTGAATGCTCTCAAATTCATTTTGGTTGAGTCTCTAAAGGTGATGTCCAAAGAATACAACCATATGACCATGAAAGGAAAGAAAATACTGAAGATCACTTTCCTTTCTCCTTTACGATCGATTACTTTGTCTACTTGACAACGATGTAACGATCCAACAATAACGTCGATTGAACCAATGTTGACCAATGACTCCAATTGATGTATACCACTTGGTCTACTACGATAAACTCGTTTAAATCCTTCGGCGACCATTCTTTCCAGTTTCTACCTTTTCACCCAACAATACTCCAAACGTCACTACTTCCAACAATAGTTCTATTCAACTATAATCACAATTCTCCAACTCAACCAGTAACTGTAGATTCACTCGATGTACTCAATCCAACAATTTGGCCAATTAATCTTTAACTGCTCCTTGTTCGAGAACAACAATTTCTCGATAATAAAACTTTACTCTCCAATAAACAGCCACTCCAATACCTCTGTCGCACATCAACCTGTAATAAAACAATTACAATCGTCCATTTAAAAAGATAATCCATAGGCAAATTCATCGCACAATAAGAAGAAATCATCATACAACATAATTACCATAGGGCAATCAACTTCACGTTTTCGTAGATGTTTTCAACCCGCGCTTACGCGGCGACAATTTATATTCGAGAATATTGTGAAGGAGGTATCAGAACCAATCTACTGATGGCAATAACTCGCCTTTGTTCCTTGAAAGGAACAAGCATCCCCAGATTAGAGTTAGTCGGGGTATTAATAGGGGCCCGTTTGCTGGAATTTGTGAACAAGCAACTTGAAGGCGAAGAGATCAAATGCCACGATTGGGGTGGTAGTAATTGCGTATTGCATTGGATCAGATGAGACAAGGAAATAAAAAACAAGTTCGATGAAAATCGAGTGAATCAAATAGCAGCGACAGGAACGACATGGACTTTGTACCAAACGAACAAAATCCCGCAGACATTACTACGAGCGATGGATCGCCGGAAAGATTGAGGAGGGAAAGTAAATGGTGGCATGGACCAGAGTGGTTACAACAACCCGAGATAAATTGGCCAAAATGGGAAATTACAACTAAGACATTTGATTTATGGAACTGCTACGATAGTCGAATATGGTGTGCGATTGGTGTTAGAATTTATTCCATGTTTGTTTCCTCAACTGTATTGTCGGTGTTATCAACTAACGGTGGTTTCAATGAATATCACTAATCAATGGTGTGGACAGACTCCAACGTATCGGACTGAACCATCTCATGGAGGAGAAAAAGGAATTAAAATGTGATACATTAGGGTTCTACGAGACACAATCGAAAAATGAAATAAATGCGAGATAGAACGATGGATGTACTATCAGACTCGGGAAAGATGTGTTTTCAGCACAAAAACTACTGGAGGCATAGATTTTATCTTCAGTAGGTATATTCATTGCAAACTTCATAATAATCTTATTGGTCAAATTAATCAGAAATACTGCTAGGTTAATTATCTATTATATCATTGTTTGTACTCGATATAATTTGTTTCACTTAGACCAATTAGAATAGCGCGATGCAGTTGTTGTTAGTTGTTTTCACTGAGATTAGCTGAAGCGATTTGTTCACTTGTTTTGATTTGTTTCCTGATTGTTTTTCTATCTATTGTTCTCTTTTATAAATAAACTCTTCGCCTTCATGATACTATTTCATTCTTATTCAGTTCATCGGTATCATTCAAACCATAGTTTCAATTTATTTTTTTGCGCAATTTCGACGACACTATTTATGTTGAAGGGTGTTATCACTGGGACATCTTGAAGTAATCGTCTCCTGTCAATCAAGATGTAATCAATTTTATTTTTATGTTCAGCATTTGGAGCAAAACAGATCCATATTTTGCCCATCTTTATCCTGTTTCCAATATATAATTGATTTGCAAAGGCTGATAAACGTTTACCTGCATA